CCCATTTACCCTTCCAGGACCCCATTTACCCTTCTAGGATCCCATCTACCCTTACAGGATTCGTTTTACCCTTACAGGATCCGTTTTACCCTTCCAGGACCCCATCTACCCTTCCAGGATCCGTTTTACCCTTCCAGGACCCCATTTACCCTTCCAGGATCCCATTTACCCTTCTAGGATCCCATTTACCCTACCAGGATCCCATTTACCCTACCAGGACCCCATTTACCCTTCTAGGATGCCATTTATCCTTCCTCTTTTAACCCCGTATTTTAACTTTAACTCCATGCTTTAATCCCATGTTTTAACCCCCTATTTTAACTTTAACCCCATATTTTAACCCCATTTTGACCCCATATTTTAACTTTAACCCCATCTTTTAGCCCCATATATTCAACTTTAACTTCATATTTTAACCCCATATTTCAACTTTAACTCCCTATTTTAACCCCCTATTTTAACTTTAACTCCCTATTTTAACCCCATCTTTTAACCCTGTATTTCGACTTTAACCCCATATTTTCACCCAATATTTTAATTTTAACCCCTTATTTTAACTCCATTTTAACTTTAACCCCATTTTAATCTCCTCTTTTAACCCGATATTTTAATTTTAACCCCATGCTTTCACCCCATATTTTAACTTTAACCCCCTAATTTACCCTCATCTTTTAACCCCATATTTTAACTTTAACCCCATCTTTTCACCCCATATTTTAATTTTAACCCCATATTTCAACTTTAACCCCATATATTCAAATTTAACCCTATATTTCAACCCCATATTTTAACCCCCTATTTTAACTTTAACCCCCTATTTTAACCCCATCTTTTAAAGCTGTATTTCAACTTCAACCCCATCGTTTAACCCCATATATTCAACTTTAACCCCATATTTTAACCCCATCTTTTAACCTCATATTTCAACTTTAACCCCCTATTTTAACTCCATATTTTAACTTTAACCCCATTTTAATCCCCTCTTTTAACCCGATATTTTAATTTTAACCCCATGCTTTCACACGATATTTTAACTTTAACCCCATATTTTAACCCCCTATTTTAACCCCATCTTTTCCCCCATGTTAACCCCCCCAGGCAGGAAGGATACCCTCTGGGAGCAGGGCCAGCACCTTGTCCCACCTCTCGGGGCTGCCCAGGATGTCCTGGCCCCTCAGCGCGTGCTCCTCGAAATATTTCTGCACCACGGCCACCGAGCGCCTGCGGGACAGCGCCCAAATTGGGCAAAAAGGGCTTTTTTTGGCCCAAATATGGGGCAGCCGAGAGGATTTTTAAAAGCTTTTATTCCGTTTTTAATTCAAGTCAAGGGTGGGGCAATGCAGATGTTATAATTCACGCCATCACGATTAAAAGTTCATTATTTCTTAATTACAATGCATTATGAGCGTTTTTGTCCTATCAGCTTTTGCCACAGCGTGCTGTAAATGCCTTAAATCCAATAATTTAAAATTGGCCCTAAAATTCATCTTTCACAGTTGTGTTTCTCCAAAATATCTGGGTTTATTTGCAAGGCCACCCTTTGAAATTTGTTTTTAGCTCTGTTTCTCTCTCAGCAGTGTCTGTCCCATTCCATGGCATTTCTTATCCCAAGGTTTGCATGCAGATTAGTTAATTAAATACAAATTAATTTAATACAAATTAATTTCCCACATTTCCCACTCTCTCTTGAATGGAAAAAACTTCTTTGATGGTTTTTTTTTACAGTGAAGTACACCAACATTGTCACTGTAACAATTAATGTATAGAAACCTTTTCTAAGAAGCATTCTAAAAAATTTGGTTTAATTCTTCCTGTTTTTTCTTTTAATTGCTGTTAATAAATTTTTTCTTTATACCCTTTTAAACTTTTAAGCCAACTTTACCTTTCTCCTAATCTTATCTCACAAGAAATAAATAAATTGGTGATTGGCCAACAATAAAAACCCACCACGCTCATCAACACATTAATTTAAAAAATCTCAAAATTAAAAAAAAAAAAACTAAAATTAACAAACCAAAACCACTACAATCAATGTAAATAAATCTATTTTGCAAAGCTCCTTTAGCCAGGGTGAATTATATATAAATATAAAAAATAAAAATATTATAACATCAGCGTGAATTTTAACATCTGTATTGTCCCACCCTTCACGTGAGACTGAAAATAGAATAAAAATTTTTAAAATGCCTCTCAGTTGTCCCAATTTTGGGTCAAAAACAGGTTTAATCTGGCAGGTGCTGACCCACCTGATGAAGGGGTGCACGGGGTGGGAGAGGTTCACCTTCTTCACCGTGTCTGCTCCGCCCTGGGGGACAGAGGGGTCACTTTTGGGGGGTGGGCAAGGGGGGATGGGCATCCTAAACCCACCTGCTGCAGGGGCAGGGGGTGCCCAGACCCCCCAAACCCACCTTCACCAGGGTGAAGGGGTGCCCAGACCCCCCAAACCCACCTGCTTCAGGCTCAGGGGTACCCAAACCCCCCCAAACCCACCTTCACCAGGCTCAGGGGTACCAAACCCCCCCAAACCCATTTTCACCAGGCTCAGGGGTACCCAAACCCCCCCAAATCCATTTTCACCAGGGTGAGGGAGTACCCAAAGCCCCCCAAACCCACCTGCTTCAGGCTCAGGGGTACCCAAACTCATTTTCAACAGGGTCAGGGGGTACCCAAAGCCCCAAAACCCCATTTTCAACAGGGTGAGGAAGTGCCCAGACCCCCCCACACCCACCCCCAAACCCACCTGCTTCAGGCTCAAGGGGTACCCAAACCCCCCAAACCCGCCTTCACCATGATCAGGGGGCACACAAATCCCCTCAAACCCACCTGCTCTAGGGGCAGGGGGTACCCAGAGTCCTCAAACCCATTTTCATCCAGGGTCAGGGGGTGTCCAAACGCCCCCAAACCCACCTGCTCCCGGCTCAGGGGTACCCAAACCCCCCAAACCCACCTTCCAGAGGCTCAGGGGTACCCAAACCCCCCCCTCAAAACCACCTTCCATAGGCTCAGGGGGTACCCAATGCCCCCCAACCCACCTGCTCCAGGCTCAGGGGTACCCAAACCCCCTGGCACCCGGGGGACACAGAGGTTTGTAGAGGTACTGATGGGTTTTGGGGGGGCACTGATGGGTTTTGGGGGGGCACAGATGGGTTTTGGGGGGCACACATGGGTTTTGGGGGGGCACAGATGGATTTTGGGGCCACATTGGGACATGCTGTGCTGACCACCCAAATCTGATGCTGCCACAAACCCACATCACACCTTTCACAGTTCTATTTCTCCACAATATCTAACCTTATTTACAAGACCATCCTTTCAAACTTATCTCTAATTTCTCTCTCGACAACACCCCTCCTATCGTACAACATCTCTAAGTCACCATTCCTTATCTCAACATTTACACCCAAACACACGCTACGTGAACTTCTAGAATTTTCCACACATCCATTTCCCACAGAGGGGGTCGCTCTCTTTCTCCAGAACCAGAGGACACAGTCTCAAGCTGTGCCAAGGGAAATTTAGGCTGGATATTAGGAAAAAGGTTTTTTTTTATAGAAAGGGTGATAAAGTTCTGGAATGTTCTGCCTGGGGAGGCGGTGGAGTCACCAACCCTGGATGTGTTTAGAAGAAGATTGGACGTGGCACTTAGTTGAGCTGTTGGGGCTGGGTTAGACTCAATGACCTTAAAGCTCTCTTCCAAACTGTGAATTCTTTGGGGGTCTGGGCACCGCTGTGGGGTCTCCACACGCCCAGCCGGGGTCCCCGTGTGTCCCCAAGCCCCTCACCCACGAGCGCGCGGTCGATGATGCGCACGGCGATGGTCATCAGCGTCCAGCACTTGGAGCAGATATCGGCCGAGCTGGGGGCAGAGTGAGGGGCGTCAGCTGGACGCCCCCCCTCCCTGAACCCCCTGCCAGCCCCAGAGCCCCCCGGGGGAACCTGCAGCACGTCCGGACATCGTCGTAATCCGTCATGTCAATGTCGAACACCAGCTCCTTCTCCTGCGGCTGGAAGGCTCCCAGGTGCACCGTGTTGTGCTGGTTGGGCTGAGGAGGGACAGGATGGGCTCAAAGCCACCGGAGACCCCCGCAGACCCCCCCCAGCACGGCGGGCAGGACTCACCCGGTGGGAGTAGACAGCCCCGATGTCGATTTTGTAGGGGTTGATCTTCTGCAGCTCCCGCTCCAGCTCCTGCGGGCTGCTGAAGGACTGGAAGCGCAGGTAGACATCGTCCCGCAGCGTGAAGGAGAATTCCCGCAGCTGGAAGTAATTCTTCGCTGCAGGGACACGGAGAGGGTCGCGGGGGGGTCAATGCCATCCTAAATCCCCCATTAAAGTCACCCCCAGACCCGCCCTTCCCCGCTCCGCCCGGCGTCCCGGTCGGTGCATCCAGCCACCGCCCGCCCCGGCAGCCCGGCGTGCGCCCGGTATCGGTGCCCTGGCTCGGTATCGGTGCCCCCCGGCCGGTATCGGTGCCTCTCCCCCTGTATCAGTGCCCCCTGCCCGGTATCGGTGCCTTGGCTCGGTATCGGTGCCTCTCCCCCTGTATCAGTGCCCCCTGCCCGGTATCGGGGCCCCGGCTCGATGTCGATTTTGTAGGGGTTGATCTTCTGCAGCTCCCGCTCCAGCTCCTGCGGGCTGCTGAAGGACTGGAAGCGCAGGTAGACATCGTCCCGCAGCGTGAAGGAGAATTCCCGCAGCTGGAAGTAATTCTTCGCTGCAGGGACACGGAGAGGGTCGCGGGGGGGTCAATGCCATCCTAAATCCCCCATTAAAGTCACCCCCAGACCCGCCCTTCCCCGCTCCGCCCGGCGTCCCGGTCGGTGCATCCAGCCACCGCCCGCCCCGGCAGCCCGGCGTGCGCCCGGTATCGGTGCCCTGGCTCGATATCGGTGCCCTGGCTCGGTATCGGTGCCTCTCCGCCTGTATCAGTGCCCCCTGCCCGGTATCGGTGCCTTGGCTCGGTATGGGTGGCCCCCGGCCGGTATCGGTGCCTCTCCCCCTGTATCGGTGCCCCCCGGCCGGTGTCGGTGCCCCCCGCCCGATATCATTACCCCCCGTTCGGTATCGATGCCCCTCGCCCAGTATCGGTGCCTCGGCCCGGTATCGGTACCTCCCGTTCGGTATGAGTGCCCCCCGCCCGGTATCAATGCCCCGGCTCGGTATCGGTGCCCCTGATGATGCTCCCGGCCCGGTATCGCTGGCCCCAGTCCGGTATCAATGCCCCCGTCCGGTACCGCATCCCCGGTGGAGCCCCCGCCCGGTACCGGTGCCCCGGCTCGGTATCGATGCCCCTCGTCCGGTATCCATGCCCTCGCCCGGTACCGGATCCCCGACGTGCCCCCCGCCCCGTATCGACGCCCCCAGTCCCGTATCACGGCCCCCGCCCGGTATCGCCGCATCCCCGACGGTGCCCCCCGCCCGGCACCGGTTCCCCCCCGCTCACCGCCGCCGTAGCTGAGCCAGCGGCCGTAGGGGCCGTGCGGGAAGAGCCGCCGGTAGAAGACCGGGAGCAGCTCGGGCAGCGCCGCCGGCTCGAACTGCGCCATGGCGGGAACGGAGCGGCGGGAGGCGGCGGGAAGCGGCGGCGGCGCCGGGCCCGGGGGCCGCCGGGAGTTGTAGTCCGGCCCCCGGTCACGGGGGCGGGAGGCACCGGGAACCGGGGGTGCGCGGCTCGGGGGGAGTGGGAGGAGAGCAAAGCACCGGAGAGGTCCCGGGATGGAGGGGAGGGGATGCCCCGGGGTCCGCGGGGTCCCGGGGTCTGGGGTCGTGAGGTCCGGGAGTGGTCGTGGAGAGGTCCGAGGGGTCCCGGAACCGGGAGGGTAGCGGGGTGCTGTCTGGGGATGTCCCGGGGTCCGAGGAGGTCCCGAGGCGGGTGGGAGCCGGGGGGCTGCTGTTAGGGGGGGATTTGGGGGTCCTGCAATGTGCCGGGTCCGGAGCGCTGAGGTCCCGGGATGTCCCGGTGTCCGGGGGTATCCCGGGATCCGGAGAGGTCCGGGAGCGTGGGGGTCCGAGGGTATCCCGGGGTCCAAGGGGGTCCCAGGAGGGGCTGTCCGGGATTGTCCCGGGGTCCGGGTGGGTCCCTGGACGGGCGATCCTCGGTTGTCCCGGGGTCCGGTAGACCTTGGGGTGCTGAAGTGCGGGGGGGCCCCGGCTTTCGGGGTGGTCCCAGGATCTGGGAGGTTCCCGGGGTAGTCCCGTGATCCGGGGGCGGGGGGGCGCGGGGATGTTCCGGGCTCGGGGATGTTCCGCGCTCCGGGGTGGTCCCGGGCTCCGGGGTGGTCCCGAGCTCCGGGATAGTCCCGGGCTCCGGGGGCTTCCCGGGAGGGCAGCGCAGCGGGGCGGGAACCCGCGGGCGCTGCCCCGCTCCCGTTAACGATTCCCCGCAAGAGCGGCGGCAGCGAAGCCCCGGGACACATCCCGGGGCACTGCCCGCAGCCCGGCGGGCTCCAGGCGGCAGCAGCGGGACGAGCCCCGGGAGAGGATGGGGCGGAGCCGGTCAGGCATCCCGGTAGTGCCCGGAGGCCCAGCGGTATCTCTGCGATCGTTGCCCCGAAGTCCGCAAATTAATTATTAACAGCGACCCGAGGGCAAAGCCAAGGCCGGGACAAAGCTCTCCCGGTCGCGTCCTGCTCCCCATCCCGGTGCTGGCCCTGCTGCCCCAAGATTTGCTTTGTTCCCAACCCATCCCAAACATTTGCTGACACACCATCTCAGCCACGTGCCAGGCTGGCACAGGGTCCACTGGCATGGTCAGGCTCGGCTCCATCCCACAGGAGATGTGGGTATGGAGTCTCTGCTGTGGATATTGTCCCTGTCCAAGATCCTGCAGGACATGGCCCTGCTGCCCCAAGATTTGCTTTGTTCCCAACCCATCCCAAACGTTTGCTGACACACCATCTCAAGCATGTGCCAGGCTGGCACAGGGTCCACTGGTGTGGTCAGGCTGTGCTCCACACCTCTGGCACAAGGCTGCATGCCATGGGAGATGTGGGCAAGGAGCCTCTGCTGTGGACATTGCCTGTGTTCAAGATCCTGCAGGACGTGGCCCTGCTGCCCTGAGCTTTGCTTTGTTCCCAACCCATCCAGATGTGGCCAATGTTTACTGGCACATCATCTCAGCCACGTGCCAGGCTGGCACAGGGTCCACTGGCGTGGTCAGGTTCCGCTCCACACCTCTGGCACGAGGCTGCATGCCATGGGAGATGCGGGCACGGACACGCTGGGGTGCTGCTGCCACGTCCCACGGGACTCAATCCCTTGCAGGCTCGAGATGCGCAACTTCGGGGTGAAGGTGTGTGTGATCGAGCCGGGCTACTTCAAAACGATGATCACCAGCGTTGAGAACCTGGAGAAGAATTTTTATGCCAGCTGGGAGAAGCTTCCTGAAGAAATCAAAGCGAGTTACGGGGAGGGTTACTTGAGGGATTGTAAGTAGCTCCCCCAAAGGCTGAGTGATCCTCTTTGTCTCCTGACACAAGGCACATCCCCAGGGCCACGAGGGTCCCACGGGGGTCCCACTGCCCCAAAACCCCCTGGAGCCACTTGGCTCCGCTCAGCTCCAGGGTCTCAGTGGCATTTTCTACCTCTGCAGTTGCGGCGGCTCTCAAGGTGCTGCAGAAGGGCTGCAGCACCAACCTGTCCCTGGTCACCAACTGCATGGAGCACGCTCTGACCAGCCTCCACCCCCGCTCCCGCTACTCCGCCGGCTGGGACGCCAAGCTGCTCTACCTGCCCCTCAGCTACCTGCCCTCAGCCCTCAGCGATGCCCTGTTTGCCATGTTCTACCCCAAACCTGCTGCGAAAGCCTAAGCTGGGGTTGCAGCTGGCAGCCAGGACCAGAGTGAGATCCAATAACACACGGTGGGATCCAGAATTGGCTGCGGCCAAGGCCACAGCGAGATCCCCGAATCTGTAGCTGCGTGTAGCTCTGAATTTGCAGCTGTCTGTCCCTCTGTCCCCTGCTCACGGATGGGTTGGTCCTGAATAAAGACGCCCTGTCCCCTCCTGGCTGAGCGTGGTGTCACTCGGGCTGTGGCACCGAGGCTGTGCCTGGAAGCTCTGGCTCTTCCCCTGAGCACCTGCTGCCTTCAGGATCCAGCCCTGGGCAAGGTGCCAGGGGACTTGTCCAGACTGGCACCCCAGGTATTGACACATGGCAGCAAAACTCAGACCTGTTCCAACCTGAGCAGATTTCCCTCTGGGCAAAGAATCGAGCAGGCCTCTTACAGATTCCTCCTCTGCTTCCTCCTCCTGCAGAGCTGTTTGGGGGACTGTCCTGCTCCATCACCGCATTTGGGGACACTGTCGCCCACCAATGCTGGGTGGGATGGAAAGGTCCAGGGTTGGTGCTGCTGGTGGTGCCTGGAGGGTTCCACCAAATCCAGCTCCGTGGGGCACTGGGATCCACCTGCTAGGGGCACAGCACAGCCCCAGGCACGGGCAAAGTGGTGCAAGGCAAAGCCGGGAATTACAAAAACCACAAATCAGGAGGACAAAACTCACGGCGGCAGGGAGCTGCCGCAATCCCGGCTCTATAAATGCGCGGCTGTCACTGAGCGGTGCCACCGCCGAGGATGTGGCCGTGCGTGGTGGCCGCGCTGCTGGCGCTGCTCCTGCTGCGGCGCTGGCACCGGGAGCGGCAGACGGTGCCGCGGCTCTCGGAGAAGCACGTGCTGATCACGGGATGCGACAGCGGCTTCGGCAACCTGCTGGCTCGGCAGCTGGACGCGCGGGGGCTGCGGGTGCTCGCCGCCTGCCTGACGGACAGCGGCGCCGCGCAGCTGCGGGCGGCCACCTCCGGCCGGCTGCAGACCGTCCTGCTGGATGTCACCTGCAGCAAGAGCATCGCCGATGTCACCGCCTGGGTCCGGGAGCGTGTGGGTGATCAAGGTAGAATGGGGGTGATACCCTTGTTGTCACCTTGTTGTCCCCCCTGGCTTCCCCTGCCCGGCTGCGGGGCAATCAAGGTTCTGTAATTAATTGCTGCCTGGCCCGAGGTGATTCTCTGGCAACATCCATCTGCCATCAGCCCCTGCAGGAGTGCTGCCCAGGCAGAGAGTTCAGCTTTCAGCCCTTTCCCCCCGAAAATCAGCGAATTAAGAGCTGATTACCCCAACAGCTCTCCTGTCACCTCGCCCGCTTGTGCCAGTGCAGGCGAGACTGGTGCAGGGCATGGAAGAGCCCCAGCTCACCCCCTCCCCTCTGCAGGGCTCTGGGGGCTGGTGAACAACGCAGGGATCGCCATCCCCACCGGGCCGAACGAGTGGCTGAGCAAGGAGGACTTTGTCAAGGTGCTGAATGTCAACCTGGTGGGGCTGGTGGAGGTGACGCTGAGCCTGCTGCCGCTGCTGCGGCGGGCGCGGGGCCGCGTGGTCAACGTGTCCAGCGTGATGGGCCGCGTGTCCTGTTTCGGTGGAGGCTACTGCATCTCCAAATTCGGCGTGGAAGCCTTCTCTGACAGCCTCAGGTACGGCTGGGGCTGCCCCCGGAGCTCTCCCGGTGTTGCCTCGCTGTCTTCTGGCAGGGTTTTGTTTATGTTTTTATTGCCGGTTACATTTTCCCCAGAGAGTTTGTGAAACCCTGACCAAAAGCGGGCTCGGAGCGTGGGCAGGGCTGGAGCCGTGGGTGTGCAACCAGGGGAAGGGTTTCAAGGAGTTCTGGAGCAAAGCTCTGGAAGGATCCTGGAGTGGGGGGGATGGACCAGTCCGGGGTGTCCCAGGGTCTTTGGTTCTGGTGTCCAGGGGAGTCCCAGGGTGCTGAAATTCGGGGAAATCCCGGGATCTAGGAATGCTCCGGGGTCTGGGGTGTTCCCGAGGCACTGAGGTTCAGGGGGATTCCAAGATCCCGGGATCCAGAGGGGTCCCGGGGTGCCGAGGTTCGGGGTTGTCTCAGGATCCAAGAGGGTCCCTGGAGCAAGGACAAGGTTCCCCTGTGCCCATGAGAGAAAGCCTGGGGTGTGCCACGAGCAGCCCCTCGCTGCCCCCCGATCTCTGCCCTCCTCGGGGCAGCAGCTCCCGCTGACGCCCCCACCTCGGGCAGGCGGGAGCTGCGTCCCTTCGGGGTGCAGGTCTCCATCATCGAACCTGGAGGCTTCCAGACGGGAATGATCGACCCCGCCCCGCTGGTGAAGGGCTTCGTTCGCCTCTGGGAGCGGCTCCCGGCAGAAACCCAGGCAGCTTACGGCCGCCACTACCTGGACAGATGTGAGTCCATCCCCACATCGCACCGCCACCCCCGCTGACCCCACCTCCATCTCGCTGACCCCTTTCTGCCCACCCAGATGCCAAGAGCACCACCCTGCTGCACCGCCTGAGCAGCTCCCGGCTGTCGCACGTCACCGATGCCATGACACACGCGCTGCTGTCCCGCTGCCCCCGCAGCCGCTACGCCGCCGGCTGGGATGCCTGCCTCATCTTCCTCCCCCTCAGCTACTGCCCGGCCTGGCTGTCCGACACCATCCTTGGCTTCTTCCTGCCCATCCCGGCCAGCGGGACCCCCTGATGGCCACCAGAGAGGGGACACGGCCCGTGGGTGTCTCAGGCCCTGGAGAACGTGCTCAATAAAGGCGGTGCAATGCTGGGGCTCGGTGTCCGGTGGCCACTTGGCCGCGGTGCTGGTGGCCACCGGGGGTCCCGTGACAGGATCCCGGCTGCTGCCTGTGCCCCGAGCAGCTGCGTGTCCCGGGATACCCCTGCTCGGGTGGCAGGGACCGAGCCGGGAAAGGCAGAGCGGTGTTTATCCATCCCTTGGGCACGGTGTATCCCGGGATACCCCGGGTGAACTGGCAGGGAACGGGCTGGGAAAGGCAGCGCGGTTTTATCCATCCCCTGGGCTCGTGGGCGATGATCTCTGCGTCACTCACCGAGGTAATTAAGAGCTGATTAGCGATCAGCAGCTGAAGGGCAGGCCGCTGAGATTGTACGCTTGCTTGCGGGACCAGAGCAGCGCCAACGCAGCCCCGCTCCCCCCAGCTCTGGCAAAGGCCGAGCCCACGCCGGACCGGGACCCCCGAGATGCCACGGGGAGGGCGAGAGGGATGAGAAGCACCCGGGACTTTGCACAAGCTGCCTTCAGCTCGCCGAGCGGCTTCCCCAGCCAAGGAAGCTTTTTTCCCAAGTGTTTTCTTTGGCTTAGAGAGTACAGCGTGCCCGGCAGCCCCCGCAGGTCGCGTCGGGGGCCAGCGTGTCCCCAGGGGCCGGGATGTGGCGTGCCAACCCCCCGGGAGCTGCAGCCCTGGCTGTACCTGCCCTGGCACACCTGTGCCCAAATCCCTCCGGCAGCACCGCGGCTGCCCGGAGGGGGAAGGAGCAGGAGAATTGCAGATTCCCTGCGCTGCCTCTGCCTGGAACCCACCTCTCCAGACCCCGAGGGGCTCCTGGGCACAGATTTGGGGTGCTGGGAGCCTTGGGGCACCCCAGGGATTGCGGCAGGGATGGGCAGAAGGGGCTGAGCTGCCTGTCCCAAACCCGCTCAGCTGGCTTGGAAATACAACCGGCTCCCAGACCTCACTGTTCCCACCAGGATCAGCAGCCCCTGCACAACCCTCGACGGTTCCCAGCTCCTGCTCAGCCCCAGAGTTCGCTGTGGAAATCTCCTGACCTGTTAAATAGAACCAGCAGAGCATTGCTTCCCCCTCGGGTGGGGCAAAGCCCCCCAGCCCCTCGGTAGCAGAGCGGCCCCTCACCACCCCCACGGCCCCAGCTGAGCCAAAATATGCCCGGGGCCAGCACGAAGCTGCCGAGTTCCTGTTTGGAAGCCGCTCCTGCCGGGGTTGGTACCTGCACACGGGGTCACCAGCGCTGGGCTTGTTGTTGTGAGCCCCGACTTATCAGTGCCCTGGCGCTTCCCCGCTCCCCGTGCCTTCCTTCCGAGCCAATTGTTGATCCCGCAGTCTTGGCTGAGCTGGAAAAAAGGAGATTTCCTGCAATTGTTTCGCAGGACTTGCAGCACCATGCAAAATTTTCTGCCTATCAGCCCCCTCCCCAGCGCCGGGGCAAGGATTGAGCCCCCTGGCTTCCCCTGCCAGACCGCGGGGCAATCAAGGCTCTGTGATTAATTGCTGCCTGGCCAGAGGTGCTTCTCTGGCGACATCCGTCTGCCACCGGCTCCTGCGGGAGCGCTGCCCGGGCAGAGAGTTCAGCTTTCAGCCCTTTTCCCCCGAAAAACCCCTGATCTCACCCTGACATCGAGGCGGCATCAAGGACAGCTTTGTCACTTTTGTTATAACCCACCCCAGCCCCTCAGGATTCCCAGAGCTGGGGCAGGACCTGGGATGTATTTTCCCCACAGAAGGATCCAGGCAGGATCCAGCCTCTTATCCCAGCGGGGTGACAGTGGAGGGGACACTCGGGAAGCCTCGGGGACCCCCGTCCACCCCCAGGCACCTGCGGCTTCCACACCGACACCTGCCCGGGGCCTCCCCGCGCCCGTCCCCACCCTGCGGCAAAATCAAACGGGAGTCGAGTCCCGGCGCTGGAAATCCAGGGAAATGTCACCCGCGCTGGGCTGTCTCAGGATGTTGCACCACGACGGTCATTTCCTGCCCAGCGAGCGGCCACCAAGCCCACCCCAGCTCCGTGCCCAGAGGCGCTTGAGTTGCCGAGCCGAGAGGATCCCCCCGCTCCCGAGCAGCCCCAGCGCAGCCCTCGCTCAGCCGCCGGTGAGCCAGAGCCGTCCCTCCTCCTTCGCGTCCCTTCTCCTGTCCGTCTGTCCCCTTTACCATCCATCTGTCCCCTCTCCCACCCGTCCGTCCCTTCTGCCGTTTGTCTGTCCCTGGTCCTGTCTGCCTGTCCCTTCTCCCGTCTGCCTGTCCCTTCTCCCGTCTGTCTGTCCCTTCTCATGTCCATCTGTCCCTTCTCATGTCCATCTGTCCCTTCTCTCATTTGTCTGTCCCTGCTCTTGTCTGCCTGTCCCTTCTCCTGTCTGTCTGTCCCCTTTGCCGTCCATCTGTCCCCTCTCCCATCTGTCCTTTCTCCCGTTTTTCTGTCCCTGGTCCTGTTTGCCTGTCCCCTTTCCTGTCGTCTGTCCCCTTTACCATCCTTCTGTCCCTTCTCCCGTTTGTCTGTTCCTTCTCCTTTCTTCTTGTCCCTTCTTCTGTCTGTCTGTCCCCTTTGCCATCCATCTGTCCCCTCTCCCATCTGTCCTTTCTCCCGTTTTTCTGTCCCTGGTCCTGTTTGCCTGTCCCTTCTCCTGTCCGCCTGTCCCTTCTCCCATCCATCTGTCCCCTCGCCCATCTCTCTGTCCCTTCTCCTGTCCATATGTCCCCTCTCCCGTCCGTCTGTCCCGTTTTCCCTCTCTCCCTCCTCAGCCCCAGCGGCCTCTCAGGACCTGCAGGACAGAGAGGACGGGAGGTTCAGGAGCCCCGGGGGTGGCAGGTCCAGCCTCCCCCAGGTTTTGGCTGCCAGCCTGGGTGGGTGCCGCAGGGGTGACACTCACGGGGGACACCAGCTGTGGCTCGGTCGCGGCTTGCCAGGCTCCAGGTGAAGCGGGAAGACCCCGCTGGAAGGGCAGAGTCCCGCAGCGTTCCCAAGGGAGCGGCTGCTCCAGCGGCACGAGGGCTCCGCAGCGTCTTCGCTGTGCTGGGATCGGGGCTCTCACTTGGGGCAGTAAGAGGATGTTCAGGTCAACTGCATTTCCCTGAAATGTATCATTTTGTCACCTACTTGGATGTCCCGATGGCTCCCGGCAGAGTGAGGGCGGCTGGTGAGCGACCACACCCCGAGGGCTCGGGTGGGAGCGGTGCCTCTCCCGCTGGAGCTGTCTGGGACAAAGTCACCAATCCTGTCTTGTCCCAGGCCAGCCTGTGGGACAGGGGACAGCCACCACACGTGGTGACTGTCGTTTGTGGCTGGCATTTATCCTGGGATGTGAGGGGATCACCTGGGTGGACACAGCATCTTTGGAGGGTTGATGTAGGGAGCCACCGTGGGAGTAAAAATTGGATTAGAAGCTGCCAGAAGGATCTTTTTGAGCCCCACACCAGGGCTCTCTGTTTCAGGCTGCCCAGCTCAGTGCTCTCCCTTTCCCTGCAGCCACCAGGATGGCCGAGGTGACCACTGTCCCCACGGAGACCCACACTGTCCCCAGTGAGTACGGGGACTACCACAACCTGTCCGAGCTGTTCTACCTCCTGAACCACACCTACACCTACTGCGAGTTCAGCCTGGACGAGAACATCAAGCGAGTGGTTCTCTTCATCCTCTACCTGGTCATCTTCGTGGTGGGCTTGGTGGAGAACCTCCTCGTCATCTGGGTCAACTGGCAGACCCGGGGCAACAAGAGCTTGGTCAACCTGTACATCATCAACATGGCCATCGCCGACCTCGGCGTGCTGCTCTCGCTGCCCATCTGGATGCTGGAGGTGATGCTGGATTACACCTGGCTCTGGGGCAGCTTCCTCTGCCGCTTCACCCACTACTTCTACTTCGCCAACATGTACGCCAGCATCTTCTTCCTCACCTGCCTGAGCGTGGATCGCTACGTGACCCTGACCAGCTCCTCCCTCTTCTGGCACCGGCACCAGCACCGCGCGCGCCGCGTGGTCTGCGCCTGCAGCTGGGTCCTGGCCGCCGCCATCCCCGTGCTGGAGGTGGCTCACATGCAGCTGGTCAACACCGGGGAGCCCATCTGCATCTTCATGGCCCCCTTCGAGACCTACGACGAGTGGGCGCTGGCGGTCAGCTTGGCCACCACGGCCATCGGCTTCCTCATCCCCTTCCCCGTCATGGCGGTGTTCAACGTGCTGACGGCGCGGTTCGTCCGGCGCGCCAAGCCGGAGAGCCGCAAGCACTGCCTGCTGATCTACGCCTACATCGGGGTGTTCCTGCTCAGCTGGCTGCCCTTCCACGCCGTGCTGACGCTGCTCACCCTCGAGGGCAACCACATCATCCTGCACTGCACCTTCGCCCACTTGCTCTACTTCTTCTACGACATCATCGACTGCTTCACGCTGCTCCACTGCGTCGTCAACCCCATCCTCTACAACTTCCTCAGCAAGAACTTCCGCAGCAAACTCATCTCTGCCGTGGTCAAGTACATCCCCAAGGACCACGCTGGCCAGAAGGGCGCTGGCAATTCCTCCTCCAGCACGCAGCACTCCATAGTCATCGCCAAGGACAACAGCCCTCCCAACTAAGGGGGGTCAGACTCTCCCTGTCTCCATCGTGGCGGCTCCCTGGGGGCAGTGGGATTGGTTTTCCTGCTGCTGAGGACACGATTTGCTTGGGCACAGCCCTTCTTGGCTGGGCACCTCCCAGGTTTGAGGAGAGCTGGGAGCTACGGACATCTTGCTTCTGGGGTGCTGCTGTGCCCAACTTAAAGGAAGGATAAGAGAGAATTATATTCCCTGTTTGACAAGAACATTATATTCCCTTGCAATAATAAAGCTTGTTACTCCACTCAGCGTCTGACACAACCCAGCCCCGAGATCAGAGCCCCGTCCTGCCCCAGGCTGTGGGGTTGGGGTGCACCATCTGCCCCATCACGGGTGTTCCTGCACCCCCAAACTGCCCCTGAGCCCCAGCCCCGGGCACAACACTGCCTGGGGAGTGCCATCCCGAGTGGGAGAGAAGGAATCATCCCTCTGGAGCACAAACCTCCCCCCACAGTGCCCAGCAGCGTCCAGAGCCTGATTTTTGAGAGATGAAGGCGAAGCAGCCCAAGGGGTTGAGCAGGGCACAGACCTGAGGGGAGGAACAACTTGGATTCCAGATCAGCCACTCCTTCAGAGCAGTTTTGCAAACCCAGTTGTAAATTAGTGATGGCTAAACTGGGTTTTACTGTGAGGGGCTGACTTTGGGTCCTCCATCCCATTAACTCCAGCCTCCTCTGGAGCATCCCCTGGCAGGTTTTTATGGCCACTGGGTAGATTTCTCAACTCCACCAGGCCCCAACACCCCTTCCCCTTCCACCAAAACCCCTGTGGGAGCACAGGCACGTGCAAAAATCCTCAGAGCTGCAGCACGGGCTGGGTTTGTGCCCTGCAAGGAACTGGAGCATCCGGAGAAAATTCATCCTTGCGTGGATCCTGATCTCAGTCACGTGCTGGGGCTCGGGCCCTCGCTGGGGGAAGGTGACAGAGAGACCATAAATCTCCCCAAGGCCTTGAGCTGCTCGAGGAACACGTGGTGAAAAAAGCAAAGCATAAGCAGTTCTGGGGACAGGATGCTGGCGCAGGGGTGGGAGCAGGATGTCCCAGGAGGAGCCCATGACCAGGGGTTATCAGGGGGCTGGCTGGGAAAGCTCTGCCACTTCCAGGGGTCCCTGACGGGGTAAAACCCTCAATTCCTCAGGGTTCCTCCTGCAGGGGTGTTCCTCTGTATCCCAGCACATGAGCACTGAGGGAAAAATCCAAACCCACCTCTTACACAGAAACCCTGGGAAGGCTCCAGAATTCCCTGCTCAGGAATTCCCTTCCTCTGTTCCTCAGACCTGGGAGACCCCCAGGCTGAGATCTGCACCCCACCACCTTCATTCCCTGCTCCCAAATCCTCCCTGAGCTTCCCTTTGCTAATTCCCTCCCATTTCCAATGAAAAAATGGAGGATAAACACACAACCAGCCACTCACCAGGGCAAAAATATATTCAAGATACTTCAACATGTAAAATTTGGTATTTCACCTAATAAACTTAATTTTCAACTGTCTGAATTTCTCTGCATTTTTGTCCAGAGACCTTAGGGCCAGAGTGGCCTGAAATAAATTGTCACCCGTGGTGACCTGGGCTGGGGCACCCTGTTCCCACCTCCATGGGAAGTTCTTCCTTGTGTTGAGGTGGAATTTCTTGTGGTTTCATTTATGGCCACTGCTCCTTGTCCTGTCACACCACTGAAAAGTCTGGCACCATCCTCTTGGCACCCCCTTTGAGGTGTTTTTATGGATTGGTGAGATCCCCTCTCAAATGAGAAATCCGAGATATTTTTATGGATTGATGAGACCCCTCTCAAATGAGAAATCCGAGATATTTTTATGGATTGATGAGACCCCTCTCAAATGAGAAATCCGAGATATTTTTATGGATTGATGAGACCCCTCTCAAATGAGAAATCCGAGATATTTTTATGGATTGATGAGACCCCTCTCAAATGAGATATCCAGGATATTTTTATGGATTGTTGAGACCTCTCTCAAATGAGAAATCAGAGATATTTTTATGGATTCTTACAGATCACCCAGGCGCTCCTGGGAAAAACACATTTTCTAAAGGAGCAGCTACAAGAGGTCAATGTTTTCCATTTTATTATTCTAAATAAAAAACACACTTTGTGCTGAACAATGGAGTAGAAAAGAACCCGATGTACAACGATTTTAGACATCTACGATTTGGGGGCGGGGTGGGGGGGGAAGTTTACAAAATATACAAAACTTTACAGCAAATAGATAGTAAACACTTAAATAGCAGGAGGTCAGTACCTACGATTAACTTAACAAAAAGGTTAGACAGCAAGTTCAACTCTTGTTCTTTCTTCTTCTGCTCAATCACTCTGATGACAGACCTGGATCCACTGAGAACAGGGAAAGGGAATTTTGTGGTGGGGGTGGGAGTGAGCCTGGGCTCAGAGCAGGATTCCCTGGCTGGGCTCCCCAGGAGGCTCCAGGACCTGGATGCTGCCAGAATTTCCCCCTCTGTGACCCCAGGATCCTAAAAGCACTTTGCAAACGCCTCGGGCTGCCCCAGGGGAGGTAGGTTGGTGTCCCCACAGTCACCAAGGGCAGCGGGGACAGGAGAGAGCCACGGTGGTGGAGAAGGAATAAAATCTGAATGGAGCCACTGCTCTGGCTCTGCCAACACTGAGCTGGAGCTGCCAGGCAGGCTGGGCACAGGGGTGACAGCCCTGCCCACCCCAAAGGCTCAGGAACACCCAGGACCCCCACTCAGGTCTCTGAGCCCTCTGGGAATCACCCCCCAGGAGCAGCAGCAGGGCCAGACCCACCCCTGCAGCCCCTGCACTGTAGATTTGGGGTATTCCACGTGGGAATGATCCATTTTAACCCAGGCAAACAGAAATTCCCTGGCTCAGAGCCGGCAGCAATGGGGGGCTCCTGCTTTTCCCCCCAAGGCAGGAGCAAGGGCTGGCTGTGCCCGTTGGTGTTTCGGTGTAAAAGCTTCTCTTTTTGGTTTATGTGCACAAAAGGCTTTTGCTTTTCAGCTTAGTGAAAAGCTGCAGGGCTGCAGAGCCTCCCTGAAGCTCACCACGGCTTCTGGAACATTCCAGGAGGGTCTCCAGGCTCTCCCAGCCTTGTCTATCCCTCACACCCTTCACAGCCACCTCCAGAGCAGTGCAGGTCGTGTCCATCCCTGTCCCTGTCCCTGTCCCCAGCTGGGCACAGCCCAGAGTTCCACGCTCGAGGGGACCCTGCACGAGCAGGGGGTGGGACTGGGTGACCCCCAAATGTCCCTTCCAGCCTCATTCCTCCCATAATTCCACAACACAAACCCAGAGAGCAGCTCAGAGGAGCCCACAGCAAAGCAGCACCGCTGCGCAGAGCGCCACGCCATTCCCAAAATTCCCCTTTCTCCTGTAAAACTCCAACACAGCTCCACAGTGATGCCAGGACCACGAGCCTGGAGTTCAGAACTCGGAGCTGCAGCAGCCAGGCCAACCCAGAGCTGCCCTTGGCTCTGGTGCCTCCCTCCTCCAAAGCCAGGCTCCAGGCACCCTCCCTGCTCCCAGAGGTAGGTCGGTACCACCCTCATTTTACAGATGAGGAAACTGAGGCAAAGAGGTGAAGTGACTTGCCCAAGGCCCTGGTGGAGCTGGAAGAGAGACCCCCGGGTGCTCTGAGCTCTCTGAGTCCAGCCCCCACTGCAGGATGGCCCTTCCTGGGTGTCCCTTCCTGGGTGTCCCTTCCCGGGTGTCCCTTCCCAGGGAGGGGGCAGCAGGGTGAGTTTCCAGGGTTTGCAAATCACTAGCTTAGTTCAGTTTAGTTTTTTTTTTTAGTTTTAGTTTTGTAACAGCAAAACTTGACAGAAGTGCAGGAGCTGATCCACGAGCACCAAGGCTGGAGAGCCCCGAGCACTTCCATGTTTGTGAGGTAGAATGAGTTACCCGAGGGCAATCCCAGCTTGGAATTATCTGTTCCTCCCCACCTCTGCCCCATGGCTGGACAACACAGGGAGAAACCAATCCATGCCCTTCCCAGTGTTAACACTGTTGGCACCTTGCTGGGGTGGCCAGGAGAGACCCCCCCAGGAGCAGCCAGGAGAGCCCCCCGTGCTGAGGTGGACCTGACACAGGGTCAAGAGAGACCCCCGTGCTTAGGAGTGTCCATTGTGCCAAGGAGAGCCTGGCACATGTCCAGGAGAGCCCCCTGTGCCAAGAGAGCTCCCTGTGCCCAGGAGAGCCTCCTGCACCAAGGAGCACTGAAATGTAGAGGGGGAGAACCACCCATGCCCAGGAGAGCCCCTCCACGCCCAGGAGAGACCCCCACACCAAGGGGAGCCCCTCCATGCCCAGGAGAGCCCTCCCCTGCCCAGGGGAAACCCCCACACCCAGGAGAGCCCCTCCATGCCCAGCAGAGCTCCCCACTCCTAGGAGAACCTCTCCATACTCAGGAGAGACCCCCACACCCAGAGGAGACCCCCACACCCAGAGGAGACCCCCACATCCAGGAGAGCCCCTCCATACCCAGAAGAACCCCTCCAGGCCCAGCAGAGCTCCCCACTCCTAGGAGAACCTCTCCATACTCAGGAGAGACCCCCCACACCAAGGGGAGCCCCTCCACACCCAGGGGAGCCCCTCCACACCAACAGGAGCCCCTCCTCCCCAGCAGAGCTCCCCACATCCAGGAGAACCCCTCCATGCCCAGGAGAGCCCCTGCATGCCCAGAAAAGCCCCTCCACACCCAGGGGAGCCCCCCACACCCAGGAGAGCCCCCCACACCCAGGGGAGCCCCCAGAAGTGCCCAGCATGCAGCTGGAGAGGCCAAGCCATCTCTCTCTCTCCATGAACAAACTCACATCACTCCAACCACACACGTTTGCCACAGGAACACGTCCAGGGCGTGGCAGGGGGGGATCCCTCTGGCACGAGAAAGGTCCCTCCTCCTTCCAGGGAGTTAAGGCAACAGCTTCATCCTGACTCTCTGCCCGGGGCACAGCGTGAGGCTGGGGCAGAGCAGAGCCAGGAGACTCCTGGCTCTCTGTGGCCACCACAAATCACCCCACAAGGAGCAGGGACCTGCTTCCCTTCCCTCTCCGGTCCTACAGGAGATCTCCATGCTCACACAGCCACCTCCACCCAGGATCTGCAGGGAGGTCCTGTTGCTCCTTCAGCTCCTCCTCCAGGTCTCAGGGCACGAGTGAGTCCCAGCCGTGGCAGAGCCTGGGAATGTGTGAATCTGAATCCCCTGCCCCTGGTTCCCGGCTGGGATCCCTCCTTGTTTACACACTCAGGTGCTTCCTGCTCCTCTCCCCAGCAATGCACACTTTGCCTGTCTCCTGGCAGTAGCAGCAGAACACCAGGGATGCCCGGAATGTCCTTTTCTTTCCTTTTTTCTTTCTGTTTTTTGTTCGTTTCCTTCGAGTCCAGCGCCTGCTCTGGCTCTGTCCCTCTCCACTGAGGTCAGGTGTGAAAATCTTAGCAGCATCAGTTTGTGGACAAGCTCAGGGTTAGCCTGGTCAAGTGGGCTAAAAGGTTAAAAAAAAAAAATAGAATCTAGACTCAAAAACTAGTGAGAAATGCTAAAAGCACAGAACTCGATGGCCTCTAACAGGACCAGAGGTAAGTAAACACGACAGACTCCTTGAAACAGTGATGTACCTCACGTGCTGTTAATTTGTACAACGCCACCAATCTAAAAAGCCTTAGGAAGGCCCAAAAACAAAAACCAAAGAACAAAAATTAAACCAAAACCAAAAAAAAAAGAATTCCATCCATGATGCCTGACCATTAAATAAAACGAAACAACTTTTTTTTTTTTTTTTCTTCCTTTCCTCCTCCTCCTCCTCCACAGCCTCCACCATTACCACTCCTCCTCCAGCAGTGCCCCATCAGCTATCCGTGTTTTTCTCAGCCTCTTTGGAATGGATGATGTACATGAAAGTCTGTTCGATGGTGAAGTCCGGCGGGAGGCTGCCCTTGTGCACCCCTATGTGCTTGCTCATCAGGTTGAGCGTGGAGCTGTAGTGGCCACACACCGTGCAGCGATACATGAGGGCCCCCGAGTGCGTCCTCAGGTGGCACTTGATGGTGGAACGCCCTCGGAAGAACTTGTGGCACACCTTGCACTGGTACGGCTTCTCGCCGGTGTGGATGCGCCGGTGGTAGTTGAACTCGCTGGTGTGGGCAAACCTCTTGCCACACACCTTGCAGCTGTACTTGCTGTTCCCCGGCTGGTTCTGCAGAGCCAGCTCTTCGCTCAGGAACTCCTCGGGCAGCTTCCTCTTGGGCAGCCCCTGCGGCTGCAGGCGCTCCCCAAATCCCGCCCGGATGTCCAGGCTGCCCCCGCACTTGTGCTGGCTGACGTGGTAGCGGTAAGCAGCTTCCAGCTTGAAGCTCTGGCTGCAGAAGTGGCACTGGAAAAGAGCCTCCTCCACGTGCTGGTGCACGGCCAGGTGCTTCTCCAGGAGCTGCCGGTCCACGAAGCTGCTGGCACACACGGAGCAGGAGAAAACGGAGATGCCCAGGTGGGACAGGGCGTGCCACAGCAGGCTGCAGAGGCTCAGGTGCCGCTGGTCGCACACGCCGCACGTCTGGCTCTTCAGGTTCACGTGCTCCAGCAGGTGGTTCCGCACCGTGTGGAAATCTTTGGCCAAGGGCTTCCCGCAGGCAGCACAAGCCAGCTCGGGGCCGGGCCCTCCCCCAAACACGGCCACCTTCCCCGGCAGGGGGTCGCTGGGGTGGACAATGACGTTGTTGTCGAAGACCCCGTCCCGCCGGTGCAGCGTCAGCTGCCACTGGGTGAAGAACTTGGTCTCGCACATGTCGCAGGAGAAGAGGAAGATGCCGATGTGGGACAGCACGTGAGTCACCCTGGAGTTACGGTCCTGGAAGTGGGTCTCACACACCTTGCAGTTCCCTGTGAGCAGGTCGACGTGGTCCCTGGCGTGCTGGCGGATCAGCTGGATGTTGGGCTCCAGCACCTTCTTGCACACCTGGCAGGGCATGGCCTTGCTGTCCCGGCTGTCGCTCTCGAAGGCCAGCTCCTCCTCGCTGTCATCACTCAGCTCAATCACCTCCTCAGATGGGACCAGCTCTTCTCCAGCATCCTCAAAATGCAGCTCGGCCTCTCCCAAATCCTCCAGCTGGAGCTCATCCATCTGCTCGAACCCCTGCTCTTTGGAGTGGTCGCTGTTGCTGGGGCAGGAATTGCTCCCTGTGGACACATCCAGGGAGGGGTCAGTGGGGAAGAAGCTGCTCTTGCTGTAGTCACCATTGCTCTGGGCCTTGTACTGAGGGCAGGAGCTGCCTGTGGTCTGTGCCACAACATTCCCACCGGGCTGGGCCCCCAGACCCACAACTGGAGCAAACTGCCCCGCATCCGACTCCTGCTCTGTCTTGGGAGTCTGCTGTGGGTGCATCAGGGGAAGAGCCTGGCTGGCCTCAGCCACGGCACTCCTGTCATCCTCTTTGTAGCTGCCCACCACGTCCCCGTGCAGGAGGTAATTCCGCTCGGGGCCGAAGTGCTCTGCGCTGCTCCGCACGTCCCCCAAAGCGTGGCTCTGCTCCGAGGAGGTGCTGCTCAGCGGCCCAGCCCGGCCTTCCCCCACAGACAGGGCAGGCTGCTTGGTGATGGCCGAGCTCTCCAGGTCGGGGAAGGTGGAGTGACAAGCCTGCAGCAGATCCTCCATGCCCAGCCTCTCGGCCACCTCGTAGATCACCCCCACGTTGATGAGGTCGGTGAAGAGCTCCGAGGTGTACACGAAGCTCAGGATCTTCTCAAAGTTGGCTGGCGTGATGAAATCCACCACGTAGGTCCTGGCAGCGTCCAGCCCCGTGTTGAGGAAGAGGTTCTGGAAGTAGCCAGCAGCACAGGCCAGCACGGCCTTGTGCGCGGCGAAGGAGCGGGAGCCCACCAGGATGGTGACGTCGCACATGGTCTCGGAGAGCCGGCACTTGTTGAGTTCCTTCAGCAGGTTGTTGGGGTGGTTGGTGCTGTGCAGCTTGATCCTCATGCCCATCTTAGCAGCTGCTCAAGAGTCCCTTCTGCTGGTCAGCTCGGCCTTCACGCTTTCATCCGCGGCGGGAGCAGGAACTGGCAGGGCAAGGGGCTCTGCAGAGGGGAAATGGAAAAAAAAAAGTTATTTAACAACCAAAGCAACGTCATTCTGGTCATTTTGCACCTTTCTGAGGAGCCAAGGAGCAGCTGCTCAGCTGGAGATGGACTAAACCTGTCTTGTCACCTCAGTTTTGGGAAGTAAAAGGCTGGATGTGCAAAGCAGCAAAGTCAAAACAAAAAGGGACTGACTCGCAGAGGCAGCCTGAAGGTCCCACTGCTACAGGGGCAGGGACAGAGATGCTGCTGACCCTGAGACCCAACTGGAACCTGTTCCAGACATCTCCCTCCTCCCAAGCTGGGGAGGAGGCTCCTCTCCAAAGAGATGTCACTCAGGCTGGACACACCAGTTGGATTTGCCTCAAGGTCTTCTCCAGCTGCAGCCACTTCATTCCTTCACTTCAGATTCCACCTGGACCCACAAGGAGACTTCAGGCTCCCAGGTGGGATTCTCTGCATTCCAGCCTCTGGATTCTCCTGGGATGGATTCCCCTGGGATGGATTCCCCTGGGATTTCCTGGTGACACCTCTCAGATTCCTCAGCTGCCACCACACCTGTCCCACAGCACCGGCCATTCCCCCCAGTGTCCTCCCAGCTTGTCCCACTGCTTTTGTCCCTCTGTCCTGCTCACAGACACCCCAACAGCTCTTGGGATTTCACAAACTTACCCAGCAAACTCTATCCTTAATTCCCCTGTCCCTAATTCCCTGCCTTCCCCGTCCTGAGACAGGGAACAGCGAGCCCAGAAGGCAGCGAAGAGCAGGAGTTTGGAGGGGTTGGAGCTGCCCCTGCCCCAGCTCCGGGAAAAACCAAAGCCCAGAGGACGGGTATGCGAGGGATGGGGGAAAACACACCGGCAGCACGGGAGGGCGAGGAGGAGGATGAAGACACCGCGAGGAAGGCTCGGGAAGGCAAACCCTCCCCAGCCCAAAAAGCACCTGGGCAATTGCTGCGGCGGAGGGGATGGGGCAGGAGGGGAAAGAACCGGACAGAGGATGAGCCGGCTCACACAAAGGCGCCGACCCGCCCCGCGCCCGCCCCGGCCCGCGCCGCCTTCCGGGAGCCGCCGCCCGCAGCGCCCCCGCGCGGCCCGGAGGACCCGGAGCGGGGGCACCGGCCGGACAGACGGACACGGGGAGGGACAGACGGACACACGGGCACGGGGAGGGACACATGGACACACGGGCACGGGGAGGGATAGACGGACATGGGGAGGGACACATGGACACACGGGCACGGGGAGCGACAGACGGACACGGACAGGGACACACGGACACGGGGAGGGACAGACGGACACACGGGCACGGGGAGGGACACATGGACACACGGGCACGGGGAGGGACAGACGGGCACGGGGAGGGACACACGGGCACGGGGAAGGACAGACGGACAGGGCGTGGGACACACGGACACTGACACACGGGCACGGGGAGGGACAGACGGACACGGGGAGGAACAGACGGACACACGGGCACGGGGAGGGACAGACGGACACGGGGCGGGACACACGGACACACGGGCACGGGGAGGGAAAGACGGACACGGGGAGGGACACACGGACACACGGGCACGGGGAGGGACAGACGGACACGGCGTGGGACACATGGACACTGACACATGGGAACGGGGAGGGACAGACGGACACGGGGAGGAACAGACGGACACGGGGCGAGACACACGAACACGGAGAGGGATACGCGGACACGGGGCGGGACAGACGGGCATGGACAGGGACACACGGACATGGGGAGGGACAGACGGACACGGCGTGGGACAGACGGACACGGGGAGGGACACACGGACACGGGGAGGGACACACGGACACGGACACATGGACACGGGGAGGGACAGACGGCCACGGACAGACGGCTATGGGGCGGGACACACTGACACGGCGCGGGACACACGGACACAAGGACACGGGGCGGGACAGACGGACACTGACACACGGGCACGGGGAGGGACAGAAGGACACGGACACAGGGCGGGACAGACGGACACACGGACACGGGGCGGGACAGACGGACACTGGACGGGACACACGGACATGGAAACAAGGACATGGGAAAGGACAGACGGACACGGGGCGGGACAGACGGACACACGGACACGGGGAGGGACAGACGGACACGAGACAAGGACACGGGGCGGGACAGACGGACACTGGACGGGACACACGGACATGGAAACAAGGACATGGGAAAGGACAGACGGACACGGGGCGGGACACACAGAACGGGGAGGAGCATGGACAGAGGCACGGGCACTTCTCCGGTTTCGGGGGCTGCCGTGGGGAAGGGACACGTGGCGGTAGCCCAAGAGCACACGAACCCCGGCCCCGGTGGTCCCGTGGGCTCATCCCCGCGGTCCCATCCCCGTGGGCTCATCTCCGTCCCCGTGGGCTCAGCCCCGCATCCCCCTCCCCGTGGGCTCATCCCCATCCCCTGGGCTGTCCCGAGCGGGTCCCGGAGGCGCAGCCAAGACACGGAGCCGCATTTTGCGCGTGTCCCGCGCGGACACGGGTGGGTGTATAGCGGGGCACGCCCAGGTGTACACAGGTGCACGGACACGCGCGCGTGGGGCGGGACGGCCGCGCTCCCGATGGCTCCGTGGGCGCCGGAGCCCGGGACGCTCCCGCGGTCGGTCCCACCGTCCCCGGGACACCGGGCACAACCCCGTGGGGGGCTCGTTCCGCCGCTCAGGCCGCCCGCAGCGGGGTCTCTCCGGGAGCGGGGGGTCCCGGGGAGCACCGGGGGGCCGGGCTGCCGCCTCCCCGCCCCGCCGCTCGCCCGGGCTCCGCTGCTCGCTTCCCCATGAGCCCCACGAAGAAATCGTGCATGTCTCCTGCGGAGAGACCGGCCGTCAGCGGCACCGGTACCGGCGCCGGCACCGGCGCCGGCACCGGGCGGGACTTACTCTTCTGCGGCGCCGCGGGGGGACCTGGAAGAGACCGAAACGGGTGAGCGGGGACCGGGCGGACCGACACCCTCCCATCCAAGCCCCCCCGCCCCTCACCGGCGCCCTCCTCCCGCAGCAGCTCCAGCGCGGCGGCGGCGGCGGCCCCGGGACTGCCGCGGGCGCTCCACGGCAGCCGCTCCGGGACGGGCATCTCCTGCGGGAACGAAGCGGGTGAGAAGGGTGGGAAGGGGTCCGGGGAGTCCCGGGGATCCGGTCGTCACTTCCCCCCCTACGGCCGTACCAGCGCGGGGCCCGGCGGGGCGGCGGGGGCGCGGCGGGCGAGGGCGAGCGGCAGCGCCAGGAGCAGCAGCACCGCCAGCACCGGTCGGTTCTTCATCCTCAGGGGGACACGGGGACAGCGATCAGAGACGGAGCGGCGGGGCCCGGGGCTGTTCCGAGCCGGCGACCCCTCGATGGGGAGGGGCGGGATGAGTCTGGAAGCGAACCGGGCTCTGGGGAGGGAAAGAGACGGGAGACGGAGGGGGGGCGGGGGCGGCGGGACCCCCTCTTGGCTGTGCGGAGGAGGGAGCGCGCCGCTTCCCGGGCTGCCGGTGTCCCTCTGACGGGTGCTGCACCCCGGGAGTGCATTACCGGGGTGGGGGGGTCCGTTCCGGGGCGTGCAGGGGGACACGGCCCTGCTGTGGCCGCGGAGGTGCCGTGTCCCCGCTCGTGCCCGTGGTGCCACGGTTGTGCACGCACACACGAGCCGTGCAAACACGAGGCTGGGGCACGGACACGGCTCGGGCTCCGTCCTGCACCTTCACCCGTCTCAGGACACCCGTGTCCCCTGGCACGCTCCCTGGCACACCGGCATCCCCTCAGCACACCCGTGTCCCCTGGCATGCTCCCTGGCACACCGGCATCCCCTCAGCACACCCGTGTCCCCTGGCACGCTCCCTGGCACACTGGCATCCCTAGGCACGCTCCCTGGCACGCATTTTCTTGCCCACAATTGGACTCGCTTCCAAAACCCCCCACCAAACCCTCCCCAAATTCAAGCAACACCTTCACCCCATCTCTCCTCCTCCCTTATGCCCTCCCCAGCTCTGTCCCAACCTCCTCTTCCTCCTTCTGCCTTCCCCTAACCCCAGCGGGGTGAGGACAGGGCACAGCAGCTCCCGGGGACCCCGGGAAGCCCCCAGGACCTTGGGGGACACAGGAACACAGACCTGCCGAGCCCGCCGGTGGAGTCGAGGGCTGAGGGACCCTCGCTGCTCGGAGCAGGGACTCCTCGAGGCGTGGTGGTGGGCAGCAGCGGTGACGGTGGTGCTGGGCAGCTCCCCCGGCCCGGGCTCAGCCGGGAGGTGAAGTACCGGGACAGCGGCTGCTGCTCGGCTCTAAATAAGGGGCTCTGCCCATGGCACGGCGTGGGTGGGCAAGAGGAGAGCTGCCAATGGGGGCCGGGGGGGTGGTACCCCCACCCTGCAGTTTCACGCCCACGCAGGCACCGTGACACCGCCAGCGCTCGTGGCACATGGAGTCACACAGCGGCACACGCGTGCCCATGCAGGCACCCCGGGCTGGGGGGGGGTCAGCACACGGGCACCGTGCCCACGCAGCCCCCGGCCCCTCATTGTGGGGACGTCACCGTGTGGCTGTTGGCATGTGTGGGGACACGTATGGAGGAATGGTTCTGGCTGGATGCTGGGCGGTGCTGACAGGATTTGGGGGTCTCACGGGGGAGAGGGGATCAGCCATGCTCCCACCTGTGTTCATCTGCACACACGAGCACAGGTGTGCCCGCACACACACACACACACACACACAGGTACCTCACACCTGCCCCATTGCAGCGTGCCCGGCCTTGTGCCAGGATGTGCCAAGGTGGAAGATGGGGAGGAAAATTTGGGGGAAAGCAGAGGGACACATGGAAAGAGGGAAGGACTGGGCCAACAAACGAGAGCCAAAGACTCCATTCCAAGCAACAGGCAGTGGCGACTGCTCCGGTGGCTGCGGCAGCCCCCCGGGAAGGCGGCGGGCAGCGGCGGCTCACGTGGCAACACAGCCCGGGGCAGGGCAGCATCTGCAGTGCCGGGAACGTTAATTAAATCGGAGCCTGGCCAGAGACCGTCTAATTAATTAATAACACCTACTTGTGAGATGCCAAGTGCGACGCAGCTGTGAAGAGCCGCGGTGCCCCGGGCTTGTTTACGGCTCTCGCCCCTCGCTGGGGGAAGGTCCCTGTGCTGGGACGTGACGGAGCCGGCGGCGGGGAGCGGGCAGCCCTCGGTGCTGGGACACGGCCAGGCCACCAAAGTGCCACCGTGCACACGCACGTGCCCCCCCCACGTGCGGGAGCTGCCCGCACACGCTCGCCCTGCACGACAAGCGGAGCTCCGGGGCCCACCTGGGAGCTGGTGCTGATGGCGACGTGACGGGGAGTTGGCAGCTCCCGAAGGTAGCGCGGGTGATGTGTGGGGACAGGATAAAAACCCTCTTCAAGAGCTTGATGAGTGCAGGGGGGGAAAGGCAGCAAAGGGGGGGAGAGCCTGGCACGGGGGCTGTGGGGTCCTGGGGGCTGCAGGACTGGTGGGAGTCCTGAGGGTTCAGGGGGGCTGGAGGATTGATGGGGGTCTAGGGGGTTTTGGTGGACTGGCAGGGATTCTGCAGATCCTGGGGCCTGGGGGGGTTGAAGGTCTGGTGGGAGTCCAGAGAGTTCTGGGCACTGCAGGACTGATGGGGGTCCTGAGGATTCAGGGGGGCTGGAGGATTGATGGGGGTCTGGAGGGTTCTGGGGGACTGGCAGGGGTTCTGCAGATCCTGGGGCCTGGAGGGGGTGAAGGACTGATGGATGTTCATCTGCACACACGAGCACAGGTGTGCCCGCACACACACACACACACACACAGGTACCTCACACCTGCC